AATAAATGTTTTATATTGATATATTAAAATTGATATATATTAAAAATAAATGTTTAATATTAATATATTAAATAAAGATTCGTGATATTTGCTAACCAAATTTAGTAATAAATAAAGTCTCTAAACTGATGTTCATATGCAAGTTTACTGTGAATATATTTGTCATAATATTCAGTCTATATATAAACATCTATTATAAAAAAAAGACAATCAAATATACTAGTCTAAGAATAGTATCGTTCAACTAAATTTGGTAATATTAATCAAAATAAACTTTTATAAAGTATAATTTATATAAATAAGAGTAACAAAAAAAATTATTTCGATTCTTGACTTTTCTTGCTCACAATAATAATGAGAGCAAAAAGAACTTTGACAGACGGTCTTAATGAACTTCTGAATAATACCAATAATTTATCAAACAAAAATATTCATCCCAAAAGAATATATAAAAAATGGCAAACGTTAGATCCTCCTTCTAATGATCCCTTAGACGGTTTTAATTAACTTCTGAATAATACCAACAATTCATCAAACAAAAATACTTATCCTAAAAGAATATATATAAAACGGTAAACGTTAGATCCTCCTTCTAATGAAACTCCAAATGATAATACACAAACTAAAAAAAAGAGAGCCCAAAAAGAAGACAGTGTCGTCTCTATCATCACAAATAATCAATGACCTTTTGAAAGATGATGACCCTAAAGAGAATGACAATGGTTCTAAAGATGATGAAGTTCTTAATGAAGACCTTGATGATGATTTTCATCATCATCCTAACGAAGACCTTAATGATGATGATTATCATTCTAATGAAGATGGGTTTGATAATGAAGGTTATTTTGAGAACAACAACAATGAACCTAATAGACCCAATTATAACGATAACCGACCAAGCCAACCATGAAAAAATAGACAATTTAACAATAACAATCAATTTTATGATCTGAATGAGGATAATAAAACTTTTTATGATTCTATACTTAAAGACCTGAATAGTCAAAATACTGTTTAACCAAATAAAACTTCGTCTTTTAGACAATCAAGATTGGTATCAGTTCTAGATCCAAAGGCTGATAATACAATAGAATATCTGAATAGATTAACATCACTGACTCTGGAATCAGGAATGAGAGCCTCACGAATGATGGAAGTTTAAGAATCAAGAAGAAAGAAGTTGAATGAACTTAGTCCTTTGAATCTGAGATCAAGACCTGAATCAAGAACGAATAGTTCACTTGACTATATAAATCGAACTTCAAGACTGGCAAGACTAATACCATTGAGGTCAATGGATAATTCAATAAATGTTTTGCCTAACGCTTTAATCAGCAGTCACTTCAACACAATTGGTCAAGTTGTTCCTTCGCCTTTTAATGAAATGACGATTTATCAACTTTGTTCATAGTTGTGCACAAATCCTAATATTTTGCAGCTGGCAAATAGTATGTATATGTTAACGCAAATGTCAGTTATAGATGGGTCACAGTTTTCACCTTCTATGTCTCTCAATTTATTGACCACGCCTTAAAATTAAGAGAAAAAGTCAAAAGATTGTCACAATTTTTTGGAGGAGCTGAAGTGACTCTTTCAAGTATGAACTTAACTCGATTGAAGGCATTGAATATCTTCGAACAGCAAATAAATACTTTGGTGACTTCTGTAACAAATTTGTGGATGGTATTGAGGATTTAGTTGAAAATTTAAAAATGCTAAAAAGTTAGTGTATTTTATTTTTATAAATACTTTCTCTATTTTTTTTTTAAACATTTAATTTCTATTTTTTTAATAATCATAGATCCACAGGTCCAGTACAAAAAGAAGAAATCATTACTTTTGTAGACGAAACTGAAACAGTTGACGTGTTAAGTCGATGGTTAAATACAACTAATATGAATGAATTACAGGATCAAGGTTCATTATATTACTTATGTAGATTTATTCGGCATGCCTTTACTATTAATTATTCATCAAGAAATACCAAAAAGATGAAAACCTTGGATAAATTAACGAAAGATATTATAATACTATCATGAAATGATAATGATTTTGCAAACAAGTTGCGAATCAGGTATTCTTTTTTAATACAATTATTGTTATATCAATAGATTTTTATTATAATAGAAATTTTAACAATGACCATTTTATTTTATTATTTAATTTACTACAATAAATGACGATATTCCACAACAATTAACGTTTTAGATGATGTTTATTACTTTATTTATGATTATCACGTGTAACATTATAATATAATTTTTATGACTCTAATTTTATTACATTATTTTTTATTAAATAAATTTATTTGTTATTTGTTTGCTTAATATTTGCTTACTTAAACTGAATTTTATTACATAAAAATAAAAAAAAATGACAAAAAAAAAATACAAAAAAAAACCATCATAAAGAGTCAGTAAATTTATCATTGAATATAATCCAATGCATCGAAAAAATATCTTGAATTGATTTACAGCTGTTTTCATAAGTAACGGGACACTCGGCAATTTTATTAGCCGAGTACTTGCCGGGTTGTCGGAGTTGTC